GAAATATAGAAACTATTTCCGATTAATTTTAATAATTTTTAAGTGGTCCTTCATTTATTGGGGGGCACTGTATATTTTTAAATATATCCCTTATATATATCTATTTATAAAAATTTTTTTATTACCATATTCTAAATAATATAACCAATTATGCTTTCAACCGGTTATATAACCGAACCATAACCCTACGCGTTGCATAAAACAAACATTTTCAATTTCGTGTAATGATAAACGAATTTATACTTGAACTGTCTTTCATAACTTTAGAAAAAGTAGATCAAAAACACTTTACCCTTCTCGAACCACAGTTAAAACGTTTTGTATGTCTTCACGATCAGAAACAAATAGTTCAATACCTTACATCTTCCCACCTTCGCCGCCCAAGAACTACCAGGACACAAGCTCGTCTCCGGATCCCTCTATACTGCCCTACATTATAGCTCCTCAACTTCCGGAAAATAGTCATCCCATAAGCTTGTCTTCATCCAACATTCAACTACCATATATCACACCACCTCCACCGCCTCAAAACTATCAGTTTGTAACTCCGAGGAAAATGTCTACCCTCTCTAGCGAGGAAGTAGGTTCTGTTTCAAGTAGTGACAGTGAAGCGGACCTTAATGCGGAAGCTAAAAAAATCGAAGATTTGGATATGCCACAAACTTTAGTTAACAAACTTATTGGTAATGTGGTAAGTGCAAATTTAAGTTTAACTTTAAACGCGTATAAATCACTTATTAAATTAAATATTAAATAAATTAATAAATATTCATATTTTTATATTTTTATACATTGTAAAGTTAGGTGATGGGAAAATAGAGAACGATGCGAGATTAGCTGTGATAAGATCTACTACTGCGTTTATTAGTCATCTCGCAAGATCGTATCCTTGTTATCAGTTATTGATTTAAATCCATTATCTTTGAATATCATTTGAATGGTGTATTCTTAACTGTTAATCGATTTACCTAGTGCTAGTGTTATTTCAAAAGAACAAAACCACAAGACTTTACAAACTGATGATGTATTTAGAGCTATTGAAGCATGTAATCTTGGTGAATTTCTACCGAGGTTAAAAAGTGAATTAAACGGTAAGGACTCTTGGTCTGTCATTAGCAAATTTAAGATGCTATGTGTTTGCATGGGCATTAATCAATCATATAACTTTGTAATAGCATTCGAAGTCAAAAAAGCTGCTGCCAAAGCAAAACACAATGACGATGATAATGAGTATACTGGTGGACCGCCTTCATCTTCAGTTGTGATAAATTTACCATCCGAAAGTGACGTCATGGTAAAAATTACAAACCCCAACGGTAACAGTAGTTTGAATACATCTGGTACAAAACGAAAGTTTGAGGAAGAAATATCATTTAAAGGAGACCCTAGTCGTACACCTGGTGTAGTTGTTTCCAGTAGCGATCGACAACATATGAGTACTATGCTACCTTCCGTTTCTATAGAACATAATCACATGGAGACTAGAGCGAATAAAATAGATTTTATAGATGATGTTAGTGATCTATCGAGTAATGTCGGTACTAATGAGAGTGATGATTATTAATATTAGTTGCAATTTCGCAACTTCCAAATAAACATCTATTTGAATCTATTAACCTCATTCAAACGTATTTAAATAAAAAATATAGTGATTCAAAATTGTGTAATGAAAAAAATTTAAATTTTTATTTATAAATCAATAATTAATTAATAAATAATATAAAATAAAATAAAGTTATTGTTTTTAATATATTAAAAAATAATATTACCAAATTATAATTAAAAAAAGATAAACAAATTAAAAAATCTAATTTCACATTAATTACAAAAGTCAATTATTAAAATTATTTCAAGATGCAAATTAGTTAAATATAAATTAATAGTATTTTAGAATAATTTATAAATTTAATATTAAGTTTTTTTTTTAATGTTAAGGTGAGACGTGTCTCATGATCTTTATTAATATCGTAATTTGTTATTATTACATAATTAATTTTTAAGATATAAGATATATGGACAAATATGTACATATTAGTCTATCACCTATCATAGTAGATGTATTTCTAAATAAAAAACTCTGGAGCAGGGAAAAGTGAAAAAGAAACTATTTACAATATTAATATATATAAAGAAAGGGACAAGATCACCTTGAGTAAAAAAATGTATCAGTATAATAGTTTAAAAGATAAAATGTGTAAACATGAAGTCACTATATACGTTGAGTTTAAAGTCAGAATTAATCACTCTCCAAAACTATATATAGTTGGGTATGTTTTGAGTGGAATAGTTATATAGAGGTAATATGTGTTAGAGTTTGAAAATGTATTATCTTTGAATCAACAATCCCTTCTGCAAGGCACAAACCAAATATGTCTACCTAAATTACCACTTCTTTTTTGATAGCTGAACATGACTCCAGCAGCAGTAGAGGAGCATTGGCATAAGCTGCCAGATTATGGAATACAAATCCTTGATATTTCACTTCCACTTGCAATAAAAGTATTTTACTTTTATTCACATTGGTTAGGCTTTAGTTGCATTTTTTCTTTAACAGTAGCATTGCTGCTTGTGGGGTGCAACTCCATTGTTAAGATAATATAAGTTGGTTATGTAATTGAAAAAGAAGTGTTGTAATTGAAATATATGTGAGTTGAATAACTAGAGTCCAGCTCCAGTTGATTGTTGTATTGTTTGGATGTATGTTAAGTAAAGATTACCAAAACCCACGCAGGGTACAGGTCATGCGCTCTTTCAATTCAGTAGGTTATCAGTTGATCGTTTGTTGTTATTATTGTTGTTATTGTTATTGTTATTGTTGTTGTGTGTAAGAATTTTATTGGAAAACTGGTTGTAAACAAGTTTGAACAGATTTGATATTGTTATTAAGAAGTGGAGGTATTTTATTGATTGTTTGTTGAGTATAGATCTTTGGATAGAATAAAACTGATTGTAGTTTTTTGAGTAGGTTTAAAAAAATTGTAGGATAGTGAAGAAGTGATGTGTAGTATTGTTTTTAGATAGAGAAGAAAAATAATAAATTTTTAAAGATTATGTTAAAACAAACATTAGACCCAGTAACTTTGTTTGAATGTGTTGTTACAATTAAATTTGTGTTATAAAGAAAGAAAAGTGAGAGGAAGACGATTATCATAGTCATAAAAGGGAAGGTACTTAAAGACAAAAAATTATAAAGGAAGACTGCTATGAGCCTTTTCCATGCAACCAAGAGTTAAGAAAGACCTCTAACTTGCTTAGGTCTTAACAGAGGTCCCATTCCAATACAATAGTGTTCCTTAAAGTTTTTATGTCCTTTAGGTTTAAAGCTTATTTGCCTTAAAAAATAAAGAGAGGAAGATATTTCTTGAAATAAAATTTCCTAAAAAGAAAATTTTAAAAAAATCAGCGGTGAACGGATGAGTGTTTTTTTTTATACTAAATTTTTTTATAAATTATTAAAGTACATGTAATATTATTATATAAGTTTCGTGTAAGTCATATGATTACAATTCTAAATTATTATTATTTTTTTTTTTATAAATATTTATTTTGTTTTTAATAATATTGCTATTTTATAAATTATTAATATACAAAGATATTATTTATAAACTAATTTTATAAAATTAATTTAAATATTATTAAAAAATTCTTAATTTATAAATTTTAATTATATAGTGTTTTTAAATAAATTATTTATTTATTTTTGTTATATTTACTAATAAAAATATTATTTATAATATAAATAACTTAAATAAACTTAAAAATTTTATATTATTTATCTATTTATTTTACTAATATTATCTTATATATTAAATTAAAACCAAACTTAAAATTTGATAATAAAATATGATATAATTTTTATATATAAAAATTTAGTACTTGTCATTTAATAGAATATGCCAATATTGAAAAAGCTCTTCTATCTTTTTAGAAATAGAACCAATGTTTTATAGCTAAATACACAGTACCCAGAATTCGATGATCATCTGCACAATTAATAAAACTGGTAATATATAAAAGTATTGTTTTTGATGTCTATGATTATCAATTAATAAGACTAATTTTAGATAATTGTGTGATGGGACAATTATTGAGTGTTGATCTGTATAAGTTTCGGATTTCACGTCACTCTGGAGCTTCGGGATCGGCGGATGTCATGTGACTTAGGATATGTGTTTAAGTCTAATCATTAGTATTCTTCGGCCAGAAGTTTAAATCCTTGATTATTAAGAAATCGATGTTGACAATGTCTTTTCGGCCATTAATAAAAAATGTTTTTTTAATCAAAATATCTATAGTCTCTTAAGATTGTTTGAGAGGTTATCATCTGACTTTTCAAAGAAAATCAGGATTTTTGCTGGACGTTTATAGATTTGTTACACATCATATTATTCCAATATAATTGTATTAATTCAAAATTATCAAAATCATGTGATTGCATTATAGGCTTTTAATTGTATCAAAATTTTATAATGTATTATAATTGTGCTATGCATTATATTAATTGCATCATTATAAAAACTTTAGATAATTGTATTACTAGTAAATTAATTTTCATCACATATATATTGTCAGTTATTAGAAATAATTAAAAAATTTGAAAGAAAGTTAAAGAAGTTCAATTTGGAGTATATAGTCTTTAAGAAGTTTTTGAAAACTAAAATGTTTTTTAAATTTATGAATTTTGATTAAAAAATTTGAATTATTGATAATTAAAAGCTCAATATCAAGATTGTTATCTATAATTTAATTTATAAAAGTTGAGAAGTCAGGTAGTTAATATTTTTTGAGAATTGTAATCCAGTCATTTGAAATTTGTCAAATGTGAAGTATTTGTGAACTTTGATAATATTTTTTTTGAAATTTTTTTTGTTTAATATTGAAAAATTATTTTAGCAATTTTATTTATTTTTTCAAAATTTGTTAAAAAAGATCGTTTTGAGTTAAATTGAAAAGAATTGAATTTGAAAATATTAACCCATTTTTTAGAAAGAATATAACAAAAAAATATTTTTTGATAGTATTTTGAGTAGAGAAGGAATTTGAACAAAATCAATTATTAAAAGAAGAATATTGATATCCAGGTTAAGAATTTTGTTAAGCAAAGAAGAAAGCTTTGTTTGAAAAAAAAAATCATTGGATAAAAGTTTAAAAAAATAGATTTTGTGTAATAATATAATTAACTAATATAAGGTTAGTATACTATTTCTTGGATTGAAAGAAAACTGATAAATATATTTGGATTCAAGAAGATTATATATAAAAGGAAGGAGTTTAAAATATAAATCAGAAATTTAAATAGTACTTGATATTTTTCACAGAAGTTTTTTTTATAATCAAAAAGTTTTGAAAGTTTACTCCTTTTTTTAATTAAAAAGATGTTTTTATATTTTGTTAAAGATTGTTAGGGTTTGTTTTAAAGTATAATTCAAGGAGTTTGTCAAATTTGTAGTAAAAGTGAAAGGATATGAAGAATTTAAATAAGATAAGTTTTATTAGAAATGAAAAGACTGCTTGAGATTTTATTTTGATTTGGGAAGGAATGTCAATTGAATTTTGTGAAAGATTTGAAAGAATCTTATTAAAGTATATGCTGAATGATTCCTTAAGGAAAGAATATTTGACAAAGAATAATAGTTTCCTAATGAAATAGTTAACAAGATAAAAAAAGATACTAACTAATTTATAGTAAAGAATATTTTTGATATCAATAGTTCTGAGAAATATGATAAAAAGAATGATGTAGATTATAACATGAATTTTTTTTTGAGTTTTAAAATTAATAAAAGAAAGATTGTATTTATTTTTGTATTTTTTCTGAAAGTTTTTTTCAATTTCAATGAATTCTTTTTGATTTAAAGGCATAATATATTCTTTATTGATGAAAAAAAAAGAGTGAATATTTGAGTAACTTGTAAATTTTCTTGATTACTTTAATTATTACATTAATATCATTGGATGTTAATAGCAGTTTTTTAGCTAACTGTTTGATATTTTTTTTTTAGAGTTTCATATTGTTTGATGTCTTTAATTTGTTGGAGTTTTTCTTGAATTTAATTGTTAAAAAACAATAATCAGGATATTATTTGGTTAGGTAGATTTGAATAAGAGATATTCATTGAATTGTTAGGTTGAGAAAGGGATTTGAAAAGTTTATTAAGGTTAATAATATTATTAACTATTATGATACTTGATTGGTTAATGGAATGAATAGTACTAACTTTCATGTTAAGGCTTAAGAAAATGTTTGAGATATTGGGTAACATAATTGATAAATATGTTTGGTTATTAATTTGTGATTGTTTTTGTTTTGATACATCCAAATCTGTTAATTTTATTGATATATTAAATATAATACTTGACTTATTGAGATTACTAAATTAAGTAATGGTTGAATAGATAGATAATTGAGTTGTATGAGATATTGTTTTAGATTTATGATCAATATTACTTTTTTGGATAACAGGAAAATTGATTAATGATTGATTACTTTTAAGAAGAAAACAAAAGTTATTTTTTGTTTTTTTTTTCAAAGAAAAGAAGAAATTTTTGAAAGCACTTGTAAAG